GCCTTGAAGAACCTCCCTGGTGCTGCACCCCAAACAAGGGCTCCCACTCAGAGACAAGCTCTTAAGTCAGAACCCAGGATGACCCTGCAGAAGGCATGGCCATGAATGACACTGCCAAAGCTCCAAGAGACAGCAGGGACATTGGGTGGCCCCCCCAAAAGGGATGGGGACAAAAGCAGCCCAGCTTGACTTTGGAAAGGCCCAGAAAGGCAGCACTGGAGGGGAGACAGACATGCTGGTGGGCAGGCACCACCCCCCCGCGGTCTCCTGGTCGGAGCTCCATGGGACCACCCCCACTTTTTACCTGGTTGCACTGGGGGCTGAGGGAGTTGTTTGGGTCACAGGCACACGGCTCGCAGCCCCGGCCGCTGGCCAGCTTCCAGTGGTAGGGAGCACACTGGTCACATTTGGGGCCCACCACGTGGGGCAGACACAGGCAGCGCCCACTCTCCTCGTCACACGGCATGTCCTGCCGGGACCCCAGGACGCTGCAGTCACAGCCTGCAAGGAAGGCTGCTGAGCTTGGGGAACAGCTCACCAAAAACTCACCCCCAGAGAACATGCCAGGAGGGGGCCCAGCCTGGAAGAAGAATCAGGCAGGGCCCATCCCTTCAGATAATCTGGCTGACTCATAAGGCCACTGCGTTTCCCACCAGTTCCAGCACCTGGCAGCTTGGCTGATGGCCCTCCCTCCCGAGGAAGGACTGGTCCCACCTTCCGACCTGGGGCTGTGCTGCCACCTGCTGGAAGCTAGTGGAACAGCATCTGGCACACAGCACAGTGGGGAGGGCAAGTCATGCATGGGTCTGGGGGCCCCGTGCAGACTGCCCCAGGCCATGCCAGGCTGGGCCCCCCTACTCACGGTGGCAGCCTTGGGGGTTGGCAGAGGTAAGTCCTGTAAATCCCGGCTTGCACAGGTCACAGCGCTCCCCCTGCACGTGCTCCTTGCAAACGCACTGTCCGGTCACTTGGTCACAGGGAACCCCCGGCACTGCCCCATCCGGGTCACACTCGCAGGCTGAGAGACAAAAGCAGCCACCGCAGTAGGAATAAAGAACAAAAGCACAAAGTTAAGAGCAGACTGTAGGACCCAGACTGCCTGGTTCAAGTCCTTGTTCCACTACTTACTGGCTTACAATCTTACACCTTAGTCAAGTTATTTAATCCCTCTGTACCTCAGTTTCCTCATCTGTAAAATGGGGATAATTACATGACTCTCTTAGGCTTCTTAAGAGGAATAAATGAGTAAATGTGAAACATGTAGGACAGGGCTGGCTGGGCACATGTTAAGTATCATACAAGTTCTGTTGTCATGATTTGCTGTGTGCCAAGTTCTGAGCAGGGTGCTCTTGCCTGATGCCTTAGGGGAACCTCATGTTAACCCTGAGGGTGGAGACGGTTATCCCTAGTGTACACATGAGGAAACTGAGGCTCAGAGATGGCAAAGAACGTACTCAGGTCACACAGCTAGAAAGTGCTAACAGAAGTCAAACTGACGTCTTTCTCACTCCAACAGGAAGTGACCCAA